ACTCTCCCACCGAGTGGCCTGTGCCAAATACTTTGTTTTTTCATCTTTAAATTGAAACTCATAACAGCTGCAGTTAACATAACTAATTCATTAATATACCTCTGTGAGATATGCTAATGCAAATCTCTTGTGGTAAAATAGTTGTGACTCTTTGTCACGTGCCTAACTGGAATCTTAAAATCAAAGACTGTGGTTCTCAGTTGTTACAGGTGAGGCTTTATTTAGCAGCTGTTGCTGTTTTGAGCTTTGTTAGGGAGTTGAGTACTGTCAAGAGGAGTTGTACCATTTTGTTGCTGATGTTATAACCTATTGGGGTTGTTTCTGGTGGCAATCCCTGATCTTTCATCTATTTTTTACAAGCCATGCCATGACTGTACATCAGAAAAATCTCAGATTACCAATACCTTAGAACATGTGATGGATTTTGACTTTGGTTGATGTTGGTCTAATATGGAAAGGTTTGCTCAAAGGAGAACATTATTAGTACCAACATTTGGTGCTGTTAATATAATCCAAAAAAAGGGATCTCCTGAGCCATGTGTTGATGCAGTTTACTTGGTGTGGGGTTCTAGCATGTAATATACCCACAGCATAAGGGCATGCAGGACTATTTGCTTGCATCTCTAGCTTAAATCCTGAGCTGTGTTTTCTAGCAAATTAATATTCAAAGGGTGAAGGGACAGAAAGAGTTGTACAACATCATGTATAGCCTGCAAAAGAAACAAACACGTTTTAAAAATATCTATCTTCCTCTTTCATGAGTGTGTATTCATTCTTCATAACACTTATGTATCTGTTACAATAAGACACAAAAAGGAAAAGGATCAGCTTTAGCTGTTCAGAGAGCATTGATGTAACTTCTGCCCTCAATTTTTAATAGTTAGAGGGCTAGATGCATGGGGAGAGAAGATGCAGCTGAGCTCAGTGACAGTCTGAGAATTGCCAACATGAGGAGCAGCGTGCATGGTGAACCATTTGGGCAGAATGAGTGGACAATGACTCATTCCAGACTTCAGTAATATCACAGGGCGTCAGAAGGATTGTTATGAAATATTTACACAGATTTCTTTGAAGCAGTTTCCCTAAATTGTGTACAGAACTTGCACAGAAATCTCTGGAGCAGAAATCCCTTTTGCACCTGGAAGCCCATAGAAACTTAACCATGATTATGAAATTGGACCTGAGGATTTACAGAGACAATATGCTTTATTCATCCCTTTCATCAGAGAGAGTTGAACACTGTAGAGAACTCACAGCTATCACCTGAGAGGTCTCATTTCCTCTTTTCTGAGGAAGGTGGTAGGACAGGCTGCCTGGATGCCCATGAAGGCATCAGGACCAGCTGTCTTGCATCTCACAGGCAGGCCAGGTACTATAAACATCCAGGAAGTTCAAACACTATGAATTTGCACTTCAAAACAATGAAAAGTGGTCACCTCCAAACAATTTAAAAGATACCTTGAGATGTGTCTTGATACTAATGTGACCTAAATACAATAATTTCATCATTGAAGACCTGTGGAGTCTTCCAGAGATTAATTAAGCAACACACCATGTAATACGTGCCCTTTGCAGAACCACTGCAGGGGCAGCAGGAGCACCTTGTTTGCCTTTGATCCCATCTATGGTTGGTGAATGGTATTTTGGAAATCACTGATAGTTCAACAAGGTGCTCAGAAGTAAATTTCTTCCTTATATTATTTAGTTCAGGTCAGGATGAAATAAATAGTTTAAATGCAGCTACTGTGAGACACTGATAGGACTACGGCTCAGATTGCCTTGAAAAGGTTTATGATAAATGTGTTCATGAAAATTTTGTGCATTCTCCAAAAGTGTGGCTTAGTTCTAATCTCCCTGTTATTTGTGCCTGTGAGAGTAACTCCACTGAATCAGAGGCCTAATGCCAGTATCAACCTGGTGAGTGAGAACAGAAGTAGACCATGACTTTCCATATATGTTTTTTCTAATTGTTTTATTCAATTCACTTGTCAGGACAAAAAAGACCTGGTAAGAAACATAAACCTATTTGTAAATTTGATACCAGCTACAGATATGCTTTTCCAAATTCATCATTTTACAATTAGATTTTCTATTTAACTTAAGTAAAGATCTTTGTCAAATTAATGAAGAAACAGAACAGAGTATTCTTCAGGAAAAAAGAATGAGGTAACTGTTAAATTGATGTGGTTTAGTTTTGGATGAGAAAAGATATATATAGATAGCAGGAAATGGCAGAGTACTGCAACTGTTTTGGCTGCAAGGGCAGTGTGTTCATTATATGATATTACAGGGGAGAAAAGGATTAAGACTAGAATTAAAAGAGGCAGATTCTTTTGTTATCACGGATTAGCAAGCCTCCTTCAAATATAGGGAAACATATTTTTGTATACTTTTGTCCAAACTATCAACGCAGTCATATTAAGATACCTAAATTGTTTCTTAATTAAAACCAAATTTTATTAATAAATCAGTGTTGCTAATAAAACAGCCAGCTCCAGAGAAGTTCTTGCCTAAAACTTTCAACATCCCAAATAATGCATAATTAAGTACAAGTGGACAGACACTCGGGTTTTTGTTTCTCCTAAATGATAAAATTGCATCTGCAATGAGCAGGCATTTAGTTAAAGCCTCCTTTTTTTGTCTCTTCTGAAACTTGCAGGGAGACAATGAGATGACACTGATCTGCATGGAGAGTGATCTACCAAGCAGTTAGTTAATGTAGTGGAGGGAAATAATATTACAATGGCAACTCAGAAATGTTCAAACATGAGTACTATTGGCTGTACATTTGAGTAAATCTATGCCAAATAAAAGCCTAGAAAAACAAAACTCTTTGATCTCAATATGTTTAATGCAGAAATCCACTCCAAAATGGGAGTCAAGAGTTCATAGCAAATTCTTCCTCATTTACTCTGGCAATTTAACTAGCAGATGCTGAATCGAGCTCAGCCCAGGACCAGATGGTATTCATCCAGAACTTCTAAAGGAAATAGTAAAATTATTAACTATGATGTGCAATCTATTGTTTAGAACTATGTTGTTGCCAGGGAAAAAAATTTGTGTAAATGTGATTCCAATGTTTAAAAAGCACTCCGTGGGAAGTAAACCCTTGAAATTGTGAGCCAGTCTGTAAGCCTGGCGTTCAGAGATGGAAAACTGATGAGGACTCTAATAACAGATAAAAAACTCTGTACAAATTTGTAGAGGAAAGCTGCACCTTATACACTTGGAGTCCTGAGTATGTGAACAAGGTGGTCCAGTTTGTTTTAAACACTAACTCCATAGTTGCTGGGATTTGCACAGAGTATCATTCCCTCACACATTCTGCTCTTGCTTTTGGTTGAAATTAGTACCTTCTGGAGTTCGTTATGGCTCAGTACTTACCCCTCAGCTGTTCAAGCCTGTGCTGCACCTGCTGTCTCCTACCACTGTGATCCAGCTCCTTGGCTGCCTCGCAGGGTGAGCTGTCCAGTGCAGCCTGGTGAGTTTGCCTGTTTGACAGCTCTGTGCAGCCTCCGGCCGTGGCTGCTGGCCTCACTGGCTTCACCCATCTTGCATGTGCTTAGCAAGCATGTCTTGACACTGAAGTGCCTTGAACCTGCACTGGCTTCACAGTGTTAACCACAGCCCTGGCCAGCCTCTCGCACCCTGAGAGCAAGGTGGGACTGTGCTGGGTGGGTGGGTATGGGCCACTGATGGCCAGCTGCATCCAGGGCTCCCAGAGCTACAAGGGGTAATTGAGAACTTGGAACTTTCAATGTAACTTTTCAATCTACTTTCCTACATCCCTATTCCCATTATTCGTACTATAAAGGAAAACTGGCAAGACTGGAAGAGAAAGCCAGGCTTTCCAGTCTGTGTATATCAGGTTTGAGGGGCCAGGATTTGTTATAAAGAACCTGTTACTGCCCTGCTTTTAAGTAAAAGGGATTTTAAATGTGAAATTAGTTTTTCATTCAGATATAGTAGAGATTAATTCCTAATATTAATTTTTATTTCTGGACATAAACAAGCTATATACTGGAAAGTAAAAGCCTATGACTTTGTGAAAACACCAGTGAGGATGATGTTTAATAAAAAAGCCAAACTTTTAAACCACTGAGATCTTTGTGTTTTCCACTGATGTGTAAGTAATGTGCCATGATTTATCAGGTTTATCAAGTTTGTCGAGTTGTGTACAAGTTCTTGCACAGAGGAAATGTATAGGCTTCTTCTCATATTAACTGACAATTCGAATATAGTTTCATAAGATTTGATCCACTAAGTGAAATTAGTGAGTTTTTCTATTGACTTGCTGGGGTTTGGATCAGGCAGGTACAGCACTTTTGTATGAATCTAGCACTTTGCCAATTGAGATAAATGTAGCTGCTTTTATTTTTCTGAGTCTACCCTATCTTCACTTTACTCTGAAAAATATGAAGACAAGAATCATTTCCATGTAAGGAATGCCAAATCTTCACTATGTTTTTCTCTTCTCTGCTTTTATTAAGCAACTCATACCATTTTAAATGTTAGTTGAGAGACAGATTTATCACTCTCCTCACTCACTGTGTCTCGTTTATAGGCTGTGACCTCACAGGCTGACTCTCAGAAATAGTGCAGAGACATGAGTAGAAGCAATCTTGCAAGGGGTTAATGCTGTAATCTTTTTCTAGCCTGTTTATAATCCCAACAGTAGTGCAGTAACAGAAGAGGGTGGATCTAAAAAGTACCCGGGGGGGATATATGTGTGTGTGTGCATACGTGTGAGTGTGTGTGTGCACACGCTCTGCTTTTCTGAGGGGCCGTGTGTGCCCCTGGAATAAATCTTGTTCAGCCAGAACAGGACTCTGTGTGCTGGGTGCTCCTGCTGGAGAGTCAGAACAGCTTCCTTGCACAGCTGCCTCTCTTGTATTTCTTCTGAAGAATTCATTCAGAAACCATTTGTTTACTGAAAGCATGGGCAGATAGTTACAAACCCACCCTCTTCTTCATCAAAGCTACCCTGTGGATACTGAAGAATGGAAATAGTTGATGCTAGTAGCTTCCTTGGGAATGGTACCAACATTACTGATTTCCTCTGCAATATCATCTTGGAAAATGACACTTTTTTCTGTGTGGATGATGCACCTTATCCTTCTAAAGGTATGTATGGAAAATTGTTTTTTTCCAGGCAGTTTTAGTTCTAGCTGGATGCAGAGATACTGTAGAAAGAAAGAGCTATGCAAGGCATTTTCTCTGAGAGAGTGAAAAATCAATTGCTTGTTTTTAAGCTAGTATGAGAAACAGGTAGCAAAAAATTTAGTATGTGCTGGTTTTCCAAGTTCAGAATTGAACTAGGACAAAATTTGAATATAATGCAAAAAAAACCCCACTAGCACTTTGGAGCACGAAATGCAAATATCTCTGCTAAGGACTTGGAGAAGCATGATTTTTACTCAATTCAATAATGATGGAGTGATCAGATCTGATACCATGTATGAAAATGATTTAATATGAAATCATAGCACTCTGAAGCTGAAAAAAATTTCATATATTAAAATGTGTTTTGATTGCTTGATCTTTTCTTACCTTTGCATAAAATAGGATCTCCCATGGTGAGTGAGTGGTGCAGTCAGTAGCATGAGAAGCACATGTTTTAAGAAGTTGTATTTGACTCTCCAAATGTAGATTGTATTGCTTATATTGTAGATTAATGCTATGCAATTTAGCATTAATTTAAGAATTTCAGCACTTTCAGACATTTTTTGTTTGTGTAAAGACATAAACTTTCATAAAATTGAATACAGAAAGGCTTTTACCTTCTGATTAAAGATTGAAATATATAATCTGAGTTCAATACTATGCAATTGATCTTTTCTTGCGACAATTTTCAGATTTGCATCAGATAATACGGATTCTGCTGTATTGCTTGATATTTCTGCTCAGCATTTTGGGGAACATTCTGGTGATTACGGTGCTGATAAGAAACAAACGGATGAGAACAGTCACCAACACATTTCTGCTGTCACTAGCAGTCAGTGACCTGATGCTCTGCCTTTTCTGCATGCCTTTCACCCTTATTCCCAACCTGCTAAAAGATTTTATTTTTGGAAGTGCTGTTTGTAAAACTGCCACATATTTCATGGGTAAGTCTGGGATGTTTATACTTATTTTGAAGACTGACTAATGAGACAGGTGAGAAGATATTTAAAGATCTATAAAAGTCTGATTGTTTCCATCCATCATTGAAGTTACTATTATTACAAAGAAACAACTTCGTAGTGCAAATCTTCATGGTTCTGGTGTCCTTGGTCTGATCCAGCAAAACAGAGGCGCACACACAGGTAATTTTAATGACATACAGAAGTGTTTTGCTGGATGTGAAGATGTTGCATGATCAAACTTTAATGAGGAACCCAGCACATGCACTTGCTTACCCATCACCGACAAGATTCTTATCAGTGTTCAGATCACCCACCAGAAATGATGGGCTTGTACACCCTCAGCAAGGGCAGAATTTACCCACAGATTTTGGCAGCAGTGATACATAAAAAAGAAAAGAAATGGGCCAAAGTAGGTGTCATTTGCAGAGCTAAAAGTTAGCACAAGTACTCTTTGCAGACAGACCAGGTGTGATCAGAGCTAACCAGAAGACCATAAAACTCAGATATAGATTTTAGAGGCTGACTTTAAAAAGCATTACTTTTGTATGCCTTGTCATACCCCTTTTGGTTGTGGACCTAGGCTCTAGGATTTGCAAAATGTCTTGGTTGTGTATGTGTGTGTAAGTGATAGTTTGTCTCACTTTAATATTTCCTCTGCATTTGATAATTTCTTAACAAAAAAAAAAA